GGTTATATAAAAATAAAACAGACATCTGTTGAGTTGCATGTACGGTAATAATAGGAATTTGTAGAGGTAATGAATATTATGAATATTATTATTATGAATATTGTGAATATTATTCACAATGAAAATGATGATTTGATTTTGTAATGTGTAACAGTGCCTTAATCTCATGTTACCAGGGAGTGATTAGTCTTACTGGAGTGACTTTAGTAAGACCCTTTAAGTGATAAACCAATTACCAGTTAAGACCGTTTAATAGCAATCCGCCCCTAAAGTGAAATTTTGACAAAAATTGGGTTTCAATGCTTCACACAGACTAATGTTACTACGGTGGCCCTATTTATTGTTTTATAATAGTAATTCCCAAAATTTACAGCATTCATTTTGAAAACAGGCCCCACCCCCTTACCTTGCAAACAAGCCTCGAGAAGGAGCCCATGGGGAAAAAAAGCCCACAGCTTCAAATCAATGTTTTTGTATATCAATAACTTAGTTTTCATATTTTTTTATAAATTTTGTCACGCAGCTCAAATCTATTGTAATATTTTGTCTTCTGTGAACTGGGTGTGTAAACTTTACCTGTTAGACCAGCAGTATCCATTGCCATGGCGATAAGGGACTCGCCTCCAATACTGGTGTCCTCAGGGGCATCAGCAGATGGTAGGGATATATCTAAGATTGAGGACAGATTTGGTGGTGGTGAAAGCCTAAAAGATGACTGGCCATCCTTGGCGTGACTGTCTGTGGAACTGACATCATTACTTGGAGGGCTGGGCGTCGATAGCACACTACTATCGCAGGTCTTGTTCTGTGGTGGCGTGGCTGCAACAGAGGTTACCGGTGGCGCTTGCTGAGCATAAACCTGGTTCGTTGTCACCGGGATGGCTACAATTGGACAAGGAGTAGAAGGCGCTGCAACAATCGGCATCACCTAAATTTTAAAGAAATCAAAAACTTAATAAGAACTGTTTACATGGTGTACCACAAATTAGTACTGTTGATAAGTTATATGCTATCTCAGTCTGTTAGTAATTAAGCGCTTTAAATTGTGACGATTTTATTTATCAGGTGTTGTAATGACTCTTAATTTTCATAATCATAATCAGAGAGGCCAACATGTGTACCCACAAATTAATACTGTTGATAAGTTATATTCTATCTAAGTCAGTTAATACTTAAAGTCATTTCAATTTTTACAATTTTATCTATCAGGTATTGTTATGACCCCTAATTTTCATAATCAGATAGGCCAACACGTGTACCCACAAATTAACACTGTTGATAAGTTATATTCTAAGTCAGTCAACAATTAAGTGCTTTGATTTTTACGATTTTATCTATAAAGTGTTGTAATGACGTTTAATTTTCAAAATCTGAGAGGCTTAGCTACATGAATGTTATTTTCAATCTGTCATTGTAACTAATATCTTACCGATGCAGCAGCCGAAATGGGAACCATGGCAACTGGAGCTGATATTTGCATAGTTTGTGGCACTGTTACTGGAGATGGCGAATTAGTCACAAAAGAAACTGGACTGCTGATTGGACTGTTCAATATTGGACTAATAACAACTAAAGAAAAGAACATAACAAAATGGTAAAGATAAATGTTGTAAACAGTTTGTTCCCAACTGATTCAAACATTACATACCCTGTTAATGTACAGATCTTCAAAATAATCAGAATAGGATTATTGTTTCAATCTGAAACTAATTACCTGGCGGAGCAGGAGACAAAATAGGAATATTAGGAGCTATTGGAACCGGTGATCTTGAGACGGGTTTGAGCTTAATCTTGGGGCACGATGGGTCTACGCTGTTTAGGGAGCTGGCGTCCACTGGTGTAAACTTTCCTGTTGATGTCGACAAAGACATCATGTTGCGTATCGGACCAGATGATTGTATTCTTGGCAAAAGGTGGCGCTGCAGGGATAGAAAAGTAGAAATAAATAAGAACTTAAGTGAGCCATTAAAAACAATAAAATAAAATAAGAGATACCAGATTTTGTACTGTTCATTGGCAGGGTGTTAAGCTGGGAACGCTTGAGCTTCTAAAAAGAACGCAACGCGACAATGCTCACGCAATGGTTCGTTTTTAATGACGATCCGTTTAGACTGCCACTGGCTTTCAGCATACATCGAATGTGTGTCGTCTAGTGCTCACAGAAAGCCGAGTTTGCTTTGTCATGCGACAGTCGCACAACGCAATCAGTGCCTGCCCTAACACACTATATTTTAGCATTGGGTACATGTAGCCTATGAACACTGGCTTAGAACCAACCAATCAATCACTCCTTTTGCTACCCCTAGAGCTTCATGCCAAAAAGAATTCATTTCAATATATTTTCCCATATTATGCATAGCACAGGTGGGCTAAGTGCAGCCAATGGGCCGCGTGCCGCCCAAATGTCCGGCCCGCTAAATATTTTTGAAAAGAAAACACCTTTGTTTTTGACAGCCTCATACAGATTAGCTGTAAAAAGTTATGTTCAAACCTGGAATAAAGTGGTATAAAAGCAGTGCATGAAGGTTTTTGGAAGAACACCAACATTAAAATTTGGGTGCGGCACTCGGTGTTACAGTAAATATAAAATTCACTTTGGCCCTCCAACTGATTTTTATGCCCACCCCTGACGTATAGAATAGTTATGTTGGTTCTACCAGATATCATATTTTACATATATTTTGGAAGACAAGGAGATAAAGTTGTTACCTGGACAACAATGGGTGGTCTTGATTTTCGTCCTTTTCTTTGATTGATCGACTGTCTCTGTAAAAATAGAAATAAGAGATTTACTAGTTAAGCATTACTCAAAATTGACACATATCCTAACATCCAACTAAATACAGTACAATAATAATAATCTTTACTTATTCACAATCCCCTTTCACTCTGTAGGTGTTCTATTCTCAATGGTGGGTTCAAGAATTCAAAATACAGGGGGCCTAGGGAGAGACTTTCACAGATGGAGGGTATATACCACCTCAGCCCCACCACAGTTAAAGTTGATAACTTATCTTAACTGAAGTTAATAACTTACTTAGGCACTGAGCATGGATTTTCCGATTTTGCTTAATACAGTATATATTTTATAAACAACTCCAAACAACTATGTACTTACATGTATAAAACGGAGTTGTTGCATAAATAATTTTTCCTGTGCCTGTGATTTCAGTACCGAGGGAGCGAATGACGCTTTCGGTGTCACAAACACCCCTTTGTCAATGTCAACTATGGACCCATTTGGCACATTAAGGTTACCGTTGCCAACCGCTCCCGCGATGCGAAATATTTCTTTGTTCGATCCTGGAGCAGCGGCGACGTCACTCTTACTCCGGCTGGGAGTAACACCAACTCTATTGGTAGCAGAGTTAGCTGCTGGTTGAATGCCACGCACAGGTGAAGTGACTGTCCCAACAGACACCATCTAAAGAGCAAAATATAATTAATAATTTAACAATTATTGTAACTTAAGCCCTGAGCAGACTATCAAACATCATTTGACAAAAACATGTGACATGCCTAAATATGGTCATCATGACATCACATCATCACCATACAGCATATCATGACTACATGCATACCTGCCAACATTTGAATATCAAAAATAGGGACGTGATTCATTGGTGCCACGTCCCCCACCCTAAACAATTTGTAAGATGATAATTATATATCCTAATTCCTGTACAGTTGCTTTAAAAATAAAAAAACAATAGTTACTTACTTTCAAATGTACTGTTTATTTACCTCACAACCTACCGTTATTTTAGGGGACAACGAAGATATTACAGTTTTTAAAAAAATGGCCAGGGCTTCCATGTGTGTCATGGCTTTTTAAGAAAAATGCCATGACGAAAAACGTAAAAGTATATAAAATCATAATTATACACAATTACCACTATGATTTTTTAAATTAAAATATTACCAAACAAAATGAATATTTTATGTTGATTTTAATTTAAATAATTAAGATAACCTTGCCTAAATCTAAATAACTCCACATTGAAACATTGTAGTGTTTGAAAATTTGTGAAAGGAAGATAGAGGATAGTTGAGGAAAGTGAATGACCCATGACTAGCGAGCTAGTATAGCTTTAAATGCCGACCAATATATATTACTGTATTGCATGCTACAAACTATATCTGGGCCATAGTGCATCGTAGGTACAGCTACGCAAAAGAATAAACCTTTGTGCTACCGCTTACCGTGCAGGCAAGTTTTCTCAGGCAGTATCCCGTACTCTGAACGTTTAAAGCGTCTTAATCTCATTTCCATTAGTAATCGTATTGACTATTTTTGTATTAATTTTGTAGCCAAATGTTTATATAACATGTATGATTTGGATGTTTTTAAATATATTTCTGTAAATTCCAGACACGCTGACCATCTTAAGTTACGTAATAATTTCATTGCTCGGACTGACAGCTTTCATCATTCTGTTTTTAATTCGTTTGTCAGACTTTTCAGAGGCCTGCCTGTGGATCTCGGTGATCAATTATTATTAACTAATTATAATATTTTTAAATATAACTTAAACAAATACCTTACTGACCTAGCCTAATGTTTTAAATAAAATAAAATGCAATTTTTACCAATATTTTATCTCAATTTTACTGTTTTAAAAATACTTAAAGGATTGGAATTTTTATATATTTAAATTTTAATTATGTAATGTAACTTTTTATACTGATTTTTAAATTTTAACTTTCATGTTACATCTTTGTGTATGGTATTTCTTTGTGGAGAGCCTCTCGACTGTTATTTTATTTATAACATTTAGGCAATCCTGCCTCATTGATTTACCTTTGTTTGTGCAATGTCTTTGTTTGTAATTTTTTAATTTTAACTGAGGCGAAATAAATGATATGATATGATATGATATGATATCAAATAAAAAAAAAAGTTCCTTATCAACTGTTTGAAAATGTGCCCCTGGCGGGAATTAAAATGTGTTTTCTTGCTGTCAAAGTGAGTGTCATACATAATTTACCCCTGGTATATTTACCCTAGATATAACCCAAGCAAGACACTTCTTCAAAAAAATGATATACTGTTGCCAAAGAATACCCTAGAAGTCATACCTGTATTATAATGAAGTAACATATAGAATCAATGTTGCTGCGTAGCATTGGGGTATAACTAATAGACAGAAACAGTGCTAAATGAACAATGATGTAAAGATCATATCTGGCATAACCTATCAAAGAAAAAGTCCTTTATCAACTGTACGAAAAAAACAAAAGTGCCCCCAGTGAGAAATTAAACAATGCATCAGTTGTTTGAAAATGTGTCCTAGTTGGATTTATCATGAAAGAATATTTTGTATATATTCTCCTATTCACCATTGCTATATTTGTTACTAATTATGAATAGGGCAGTATTATGTGCCTAAAGGCATGGTATTCTATTGTCTCATTGTTACAAGTATTGCTTACTATGTATGGAGTAAAGAATATTCTTTACTCCATGATGTAGATTCATTGTTATCCTTCGTTAATTATTTGATGATCACAGTCTACCGCTGCCTTTGAACTACCGAATTTACTTTGCACATGCTCAGTCTTACAGTTAATCAATCTGGGATAATCTTAGTCATTAGACTATTTTATCTGAAGAGTGCTGCACCATGTTTGTGTAGCACGAAACTAAATAGTAATAAATATGTCTAATCAAAGGTACTGTTGAACCTCTCATTTTTTGTC